ACGTTGGAAGTTTCTGTTAAAGAATCACAAGATATGTTTGTCTTTTAAAAAGTATTTGTTTGCGGTCAAATTTTATTTTATCTCTTTTATTAATTCAAGCTTTGATAAAACTGAAATTATTAAGGATTAAAATTGAAAAGAAAAAATAAAAAGCTAACACTGATTCTTAACTCTTTTCAAGTTAAAATAGTGTTGAATATTTTGTTAACTGCTTCTTCCTCAAAAGAACTTTACTTTTCCTCACCCCAGCCTGGCAAAAACTTGTATGTAGGCTGTTGATTCTAGTTACAAAATCTGTGAAATTTATAAAGTATGTGTGATAGCCAAGATTGGGACATAGTGGACTTTGAACAGGAAATAACTACTTAGAGACATAAGTACTGTAGTAATTATATAATTATTTATAGTTTTAGAACGTGCTTTTATGGTCACTGTCTTACCTGAAGGGGCACTCTGGTAGCATAATGCCTAAGGCACTTGACTGCTAACCAGAAGGCTGGCGGTTCAAACCCACCAGCCATTCCTCGCAAGGAAGATGGGACAATCTACTTCCTTAGTGATGCTGCCTCGGAAACCCAAGGTGGGGTCGCTATGAGTCGGGTCCGACTCTGCGGCAGTGTGTTTGTTTTATCTTACCTGATGTTCCCAACAGCCCAGAACAGTTGAGACAGAGGTTTAACTCCTCTGTGATATTATTGAGGAAATTGATAAACTGTGACTCTTGTCCAAGTTGGTATGTATAGTAAATGGTAGAAATTGCATTAAGATAAAAGGTTTTTGGTTCAGAGACTTTGTGTACTTTTTACTGAACCACAAAGCCTTTCTACAGAACTAGGGCAAAAAGATAGTTTTTGGCAGTTAACAGCATAGAATGTATCACTTTACTATTGTTTTGTGACATTGGAAATACCACTTACTGTCTTTTTTGCTTTGTAGTCTCTGTTTTACAGTAGTATTTTCCATAGGGTTGTAACAGTTAAAATGCTTGGAAGGATAGGCCTTTTTTTTTTTTTTTTATAATCACTATTTTATTCTATTCAGACATTGTTATCGTTGTTCTGGTTACCTAGTGCTGCTGTGACAAGAATATAACACAAATGGGATGGCCTTAACAAACAGGAGTTTATTCTTACAATTTGGAGGCTTTAAGTCCGAGTTCAAAGTCCCAGGCTCTAGGGGCTGGGTGAAAGCCCCTCAGCTTTGGGCTTCAGCTCTGCCTCCAGCTCCCAGCCCACTGGAGCTGGAGGCTTTTCTTCACTCAGATAGCTGCTGGCTGCTGAGGCTGCCAAGCCCAAGGTTGATAAGTAACAAGGCAAGTCAGTCCTGATGTTACCAAACCACATGGCAGGCCATTAATTCAAGTCCATTGTAAGCCCCCAGGTTGGCAGAGCATGGTAGGCTGCTGAACAACGACACGGCTATATGCAGGGTCCAAATGTGCCATAAGGTAGAAACCATTCCCCAAGGTTTTTGCTTATATACAGGAAGCAGACCATATTCCCTAAGGCAGCTACTCACAGTAGATTCCACCATGGAGTTGATTACCAGTCTCATCATGGGGAATACTACATCCAGCTGCCCAGCTACTCAACCAGGCCTGGCCAAGTTGACACAACCAACTGAACTGCCACAACTGTATTTCACATATTAGAGTCAAAGGAAAAGGGGGAATTCAGGAATGTAGAAAATGTGTGCCAAAATTTGTACATTCATATTGAATGTAACTTTTCTAAACAGTGGCCTTGCGTAGCTATATATTGCATTGCTCAAAATAGCAAATGGATCTTATTTTTAAAATAATGGCTTTAGAGTTTTATTTGCATCTGTATAAAGATGTTGTATATCCAGTGTGAAAATATGAGTGAGCTCAGTCATAGATAGTTGTTGAATCTACATGGTACTGATACTTTGTTTTCAGAAAATTTTTGACTATGTGTAGATTCAGGGACAAAATACCTGGATGATTATTCTTGTACATTAGATTGCTAGAAGTGGATTATCTTCGAATTAATGTGTTGTGTTTTTCATCTTTCCCTAGTCAGCAGATAAGCAGCGAGCCCTAGAAGAAACCAAAGCCTACACCACCCAGTCCTTAGCAAGTGTGGCCTATCTGATAAACACCTTGGCCAACAATGTTCTGCAGATGCTTGATATCCAGGCGTCCCAGCTACGAAGGATGGAATCTTCAATCAATCATATTTCTCAGGTGAGAACACACACTCTTTTCCTGTTTTACCTGTGAAAGTACAGTCTATAGTGCTAGCAGCTCTTGTTTCATGAGTTAGCTCACATAAGTGTTTTGAAACACATACTTCAACATTACGCTTTTTTCTAATTCTTTTTGTTGGGTTGGTTATCTTCTTTGTAATTTTGAAAGGGAAGTAAATGTTCATGGATTCTGCTAAAACTCAGATATCATGTTAAAATAATCATCTCTGAGTTGATAATTTTGGATTTCTTTCTGTTTTTACCAAATTTCACACTTTTTCATATTTCTTTTAAATTTAAATGATAGCTTGATGGCTTAACTTGGTTTATTTTTCTGTTGGTAGGATTTATGTTTACTGGGATGCTAGCATACCTCAATAATGGAAAGACTATAAATGACTAGCAAACTGTATAAAATTATCTTTATACAGACCTTTTAAAAATAAATGTCATTGTTTTTCCATTGTGAGAGCCATGCTCATGAAAATACAGAAAAAGACTGATAACATGGAAAAACAAATCCTTTCACTACTATCACCATTAATATGTGGTGTATTTGTTCCTAATGCTTTTATTATTTTTTTTTGTAAATAATTTAAAAAATGTAGCTGCTATATTATGTGTAGAATTTTGGATTCTGCCTTTTTAACTTACCACCAAAACATTCACATAATTTTATAAGCCTTTCATAAAAATTCCCAGCAGCTACATAATGTTGTATGTATATGCCATAGCTTTTATAACCATTCCTTAATTTTTGAACCATCTTAAATAGCACTGAAATGAAAAAACCAATGTAAGTTGCAAAATTCATTAAAATAGCACCGGTTTTGATCTGCCTGCCTCTTTCTAGAGAGAATTTTGGAGCTCTTCTTCTGTAGTCCTCTTGTCATTAGAGTCATTTGGTGGTATTCAACACTCTGATGAGAACTAAGTGATTTAAACTCTTAGGAAATAAAAAGGATTTTAATACTTACTGTTTTTTAGTGCACTTTGAGAGTTTAAGACTCTTGAAATAGAGTAATACAACCATTTTTGAGAGTCTGAAGATTAGAAAATCCAGATAATTAAATCAAATGTAGTCTGGATGATTAAATCAGATATGGGTGGTCTACCTTATTTCTATCATTTGAAAAATCTTTAGATGATTCAGATGGATTTCTTGTTACTTAATCTTAGTCTTGAATCTGAATTCATCTTTTCAAGGATTTCTTCACATCCCATTGAATCTTCTCTAAATGTTTATAATTTGCTGCTGCTTGTTTTGCTGTGTCTCATAAATTAAAAAAAAAAAAAAGAGTTGGTGAGTTTTAATGAAATTGGTGGGTAAATTTTAATCAGCTAAGGCCTCCTAAAGAAATAATCAGTGACGTTTTAAATTATGAAATACATAAACTTGGTTTTGTATAGTAGAAGGGAGGTTGACAAGTTGCTAATCTCATATAGAAGTTTAAGGTCGGTTCTTGAGGTTCCTAAAATGTCTGCATGTTTGAAGTCCAAAAATAGAAAGCAAGGAGAAAAGAGTAAATATGGAAGAGTAAAATATATTTGAGTTCCTCAAAAGGCAGGCAACTTTTTTTTTTTTTTATGTTGAGAATTTACACAACAGAACACATTAATTGAAAAGTTTCTACATGTACAATTCAGTTATACTGATTATATTTTTTAAGTTGTGCAGCCATTCTCACCCACCTTTTCCCAATTTTTCTACCTCAATTAACATATCACTGCCCCCTAAGGTTCCTATTTGATCTTTTGAGTTGGTTTTGTCAATTTGATCCCATATAGAGAATCCTTTAAATAGCATAATGCTCAAGGCAGACCTTTTTCTAACCAGTTAAACTAAACTATTATTAGTTTTTGGAAGACTTAAAGGGATATTTTTGGTTTGAGGTTTAATGATTATCTCAGGGCAGTAATTTCAGGAATTCATCCATCCTCCATGGCTCCAGAAAGTCTAGAGTCTGTGAGAATTTGAAATTCTGTTCTATACTTTCCCCCTTTTGATCAAGATTCTTCCATGCAATCTTGATCAAAATGTTCAGTAATGGTAAACAGGTACCATCCAGTTCTGGTGTAATGGCAAAGGAAGCGGTTGTCCATGGAGAAGCAATTAGACACATATTCTATATCCTCCTCCTATTCCTGACTCTCCTTCCTCTTCTGTTACTCCAGGGAAATAGAGACCAGTTGTTCCTTGGATAGCCACTTGCAAGTTTTTAATACTTCAGGTTTAAGAGACTCAAGTAGGAGAACAGAAGCACTAAACACATTATTAGGCCAGTTAACTAAGTGGTCTCATGAAACCATGACTTTAAACCTCTAGACCAAAGAACCCAATCCCACGAAGTGTTTGGTTGTACATAAGCAGTCACCATGTCCTTTTTCTGTTTTTGTTGTATATATCCCTATCACACAGCTTTTACCAGTTCAACTTTTTACAGATATACAACTTACTGACAACTTATCGACAGCAATTACAATAATTGACTATGCAACCCTACCCTTAATCAATGCTATTTTTACATCACTGTTAACTTTCCCCCTTCTTCCCACCCTTAATAAGCACTCAAAAACTTTAGTCTCTGTACGTTTGCCTTTTCTTGTCTTTTTTTTAAGTGAAGTCATACCCTGTTTGTCCATTTGTAATTGACTTTTTTCACTCAGAATAATGTCTTCAAGGTCCATCCTTACTGCAGCATGTGTCAAGACTTCATTTCTCCTGTTGGCTGAGTAGTAGTCCATGTATATACCACATTTTATTTATCCATTCATAAGCTGATGGACATTTAGGGTTTTTTTTTTTTTCCTTTTTGGCAATTATGAATACTGTTGCAGTGAACATTGATGTACACTTTGCTTTTTGATAATCTGGCAGGGCAACTCTTCATTAGTTTGTAGGGGGAAGTAGGAGAGATTGTATAGGTAGTGAGTGACAGTAAGCAAATACTAATGAAGAATATTATCATATGTATTTTCTTGTTGGAATTTTGTAAGTCTTTGGTAGAAAAGGGTAACAGCCTCAAGGAGGACGATAAGTACTACAAGGCAGCCTTAGGTTGAGGTCCCTGAGTAGTACAAGTGGTTTCCTCTTGGCTACAAACTAAAAGGTTCATGATTCCAACCCACCCAATGTCACTATGGAAGAAAGGCTTGGCAATCTCCTTCCATAGAGATAGCTAGGAAAACCTTGCTCTGTAACCTTCTGCAACTCTGAGTCAAAATCAATTCAGTGGCAGTGGTTTTACCCTAGGTTGTAAGTATATATATTCAGTTAATGAGAACATTTTCTTTTAGAGTATTCCATAAATTGATATCCAGTTAATGTGGTCTAATTAATTCTGTTTTTAGCATTCCACTGGAACAAGTAGAAAATAGGAGAGGTAAATGGACATAGATTAGTAAGTCTGAAATAACAGGACTGAATCAGAGCTGTTAAGAATATGTTCAACCTTTATTTGGAATTGAGTGTCTGGAGGGATGTATAAGGGATCTGGGATTTTACAGTAGCTGTTAAGTTTGTACAAAATGTATCTTAGTATGTTTGGGTAAGAGGTTGAGTTGTAGAAATGGGCTGATGGAGATTGTAATGTGAGAAATACAAATAACCAGTTACTTTCTGTTTTAGTTTTTAGTATTTGCCTTAAGGATTGAAATTTTTTCAGTTACATTTAATGTATGGGTAGGAACCTATGTTTAAAAAGTCAGTTGACTATCAAAGCTATTTAATGCTTCTTAGATGGAATATTTTTGGAAGCAAGAATGGCCAGACTTCGTCTCACCTACTTTGGTCATGTTATCAGAAGGGACCATTCCCAAGAGAAGGATGTCTTGCTTGGTAAGGTAGACGGTCAACGAGAGAGGGGAAGGCCTTCAATGAGATGGATTGACACAGTGGCTATGGCGATGGGCTCAAGTATAGCAAGGATTGCGGAGCTGGCACGGGACCAGGTGGTGTTTCATTCTGCTGTGCAGAGGGTCTCTATCAGTCAGGCACGACTCGATGGCACCTAACAACAACAACAACAACAACTGGAATATTATTCTACATGTAGTATAAGAGAAAATGTTTTCTGTTTACAGTAATCTTTGTTAACTTAGATATTACTCTAAATTTTAGAGTATTTAGTAAATACTCTAAAACATAAACAACAAGAGGACAGGCCAAGAAATGGTGGGAGCCAGCAGAGGGCCAGAACAACAGCTAGGGCAGGAGTAGTAGCCAGAGCTGGCGGAGTACTGGAACAATAGCTAGGGGAGGCTGGAAAGTGGGAGTGGAGTGGTTTGGAACAGCTATGGGTGATGAACTTGTCTGTCAGTTACTCGTACTGTGCTGGCTTGCATGTTGCTGTGGAGGCTATGCTACCAGTGTTTCAAATGCCAATAGGCTCACCCGTGGTGGATAGATTTCAGCAGAGCTGAGTTTGTCTAGACTAAGACATACTCAGAAGAAGGAAGAGGCCATCCACTTCTCAAACAATTGGCCAGTGAAAACTTTATGAATAGCAGTGAAATATGGTCTGATATATTAAACTTGATGAGTAGCCCTAAAACATTGTCCAATACAGTGCCAGAAGATGAGTCCTTCAGGTCAGAAAGCACTCAAAATATGACTGGGGAAGAGATGACTTCTCAGAGTAGAGACGATCTTAATGATGTGGATGGAATAAAGCTTTTGGCACCTCCACTTGCTGATGTGGCATGACTCTCAATGAGAAGAACAGCTGCAAACACCCATTTATAATCAGAACATGGAATATATGAAGTATGAATCTAGAAAAATTGAAAGTTGTCAAAAATGAAATGAACGCATAAAATAAAGATTGATAACTTAGGCATTAGTGAGCTGAAATGGACAGGTTTTGGCCATTTTGAATCAGACAGCTATATGATATACTATGCCAGAAATAACAAAGAGGGATGACATGGTGTTCATCGTCACAAAGAATGTCTCATGTTCTATCCTGAAGTACAATGCTGTCAGTGATAGGATAATAT